CCCTGTCTCTACTGAAAATACAAAAATACAAAAAATTAGCTGGGCATGGTGGCACGTGCCTGTAATCCCAGCTACTCAGGAGGCTGAGGCAGGAGAATTGCCTGAACCCAGGAGGCAGAGGTTGCGGTGAGCCAAGATCGTGCCATTGCACTCCAGCCTGGGTAACAAGAGTGAAACTCCGTCTCAAAAAAAAAAAAAAAAAAAAAAAAAAAAGTTTACTATAGCACTGGAGTGAATTTTAAACAAGATAACCTATTTAAAGCACCAAAATTGGCATATCATAAGTACTCAGTAAATATTACCTCTTAGTAGTTATGCACATTAAAAAATTTAAAATGAGAAGCATGCCACATGAATGACCAATAAACAAATTACACTATGTTTATATAATTAAAATTAGGAAAACACCTAGTTTTATATATGTTCCTCTCCATTTTACTGCGTCTTCTTAGCAGTTCCTGCACTTTGATCTCTTATTATGCTTTAAAAAGAAAACTGGCTGGGCGCAGTGGCTCACACCTGTAATCCCAGCACTCTGGGAGGCCGAGGCGGGCAGATTACGAGGTCAGGAGTTCGAGACCAGCCTGACCAACATAGTTAAACCCCACCTCTACTAAAAATACAAAAATTAGCCAGGCATGGTGACAGGCACCTGTAATCCTAGCTATTCAGGAGGCTGAGGCAGGACAATCACTTCAATGGGGGAGGCAGAGGTTGCAGTGAGCCAAAATCATGCCAATGCACTCCAGCCTGGGCAACAGAGTGGAAAAAAAAAAGAAAAAAGAAAAAAGAAAGAAAGCTCAGTAATTCCTTCTTAGTACAACGAAACAAATATCAAGCAAACTATCTAGTCACTACTGAATATACAGATCTAAATTACACAGAAGCACTGGCATTTTCTATTGGAAAAAATTTCTCTACCTAGTCCGATAACAGCATGGTTAAACAAATACTAAGAATCGAAGTCTACAAGAGAAACAATATGTAGCAGCCACGAAAGATTAACAACTAATAGAATTTTTTTTTCAATTAAATTAAATAATAAAAAATGCTTGGCATAAGTACTCAGTAAAATATAGAATCTATAATTATCCTTCATCTTCTTCCTTGATCCATTGGATTTAACTACATATACACACACAAATCAAAAGTAAGTAGGCTATGCCTACGGATAAAGAAAGTTATTACATACTTTATGTATGTAATTACATACATTTTCCCATTTGAAAGTGGAAAAGTGGAACCATAAAATACAAATTCCACATATATAATCTTAGTCTTGGAGAAAAGCTTTAAGGAGCTTGCAATCCTATTGCTTCATTTGTAAGCTGTATTAACATTTTTAAGAGTATTTTCCATGGATTAACATTCTATGGAAAAACTCATTTTGCCATCTACATTGACTTTGAGACATCTTGACATCAATGTTACAGATGATCTTCCTTTGACTTAATCTTCCCTTTCTCAGAACCAATAAATATTAGCTGTGGACACCTAAACCCTATTCTGAAATGCATTATAGTTCTTTAAGCATTAAATAAATTGCCATTTAGTTCTACAGCATCTATTACACTGTTGGATAAAATGTTAATAATGTTGAAAGTACTATCTACCCATAATTGTTATACCCAAAGAAGGCTCTCTGGATTCCATCTCTATTTTAAAAAGGCTGTCCACTCTAACCAATCTCTTTATATACACACATAAATATGAATTCTTATATGTAAATATACGAATCCCTTCATTTATATATAAAATACACCTGACAGTATTCATAACATTAACCACGAATATGGTATATGTAAACATGTAATATATATAATATTTGTAAATGTATAGTATATGAAAGTATTATAGCAAAAATATCTGAAGTCAAATGTGGGCTTTAGGAACATAAATGAAACCAGCCTAGGTTCATGCAACATTTGACCCTGTTGTCACTTGGGAATTTGTGCATTCTCAAAAGAAAGTACAGTTTCCTGAAATTTCATCAAACATTTTAATCTAATTGAATACTAGAAAATATGTACTTAATGCGACAAAGAATTAAATTCAAGAAATTATTAACAAGGAAATGAAAACATGAGCTGTAAAAGCCATTATGAAATCTAATTGACAGTTTTTATGGTAGTACATTTTCAACTTTAATTATACAACTGAGGGTTATGTGAATCCGTTCTAAATATTTTTGGCACTTAATGTATTTATATATTTCTACTGTTGCTGGGTCCTTGGGTCTTAAAATGAGGAAAAAAATTTTAGTATACTGTTTTCTTTCTTTTTTCAAATTAATAAACACACCTAAATATAATCAATTTGTTTCGTGCTCAACACTATACACATATTTCTAATTTTTAATTCAAGCATTTAAAATTTGGCTTTGGTTTTCTTTTAATGTGATAAGAAAAAAGTGGGGTTTTGTTGGTAAATATATAAGTGGATACATCAATACGTAGATTTCATTTTAATAATTTCTAGGTTTTTCTGAAGCAGCTTATTCAAAACAGTTTTTTTTTTTTTTTTTTGAGACTGAGTGCAGTGGCGCCATCTTGGCTCACTACAACCTCCACCTCCCAGGTCCAAGCAATTCTGCCTCAGCCTCCTGAGTAGCTAGGATTACAGGTGTGCTCCACCACAGCCGGCTCTTTTTGTATTTTTAGTGCAGATGCGGTTTCACCATGTTGACCAGGCTGGTCTCGAACCACTCCTAACCTCAAGTGATCCACCCACCTCGGCCTCCCAAAGTGCTGGGATTACAGGCCTGAGCCATCATGCCGGGCCTCAAAAAGATGCTAAAGAAACACACAGAATTCATACAAATATGAATCAAAAGGGTCAGTTTAGAATAAAAATGTATAGTGGAATCCATACAATTTCTAAAAATAAGACTACTAGAAACTTCTTCAGAGACAACAGAAACAGTAATTTCCCTTCGAGAGGCTTAAACGGGACTAGTACCTTATTACTCCCACACTAATGAAATCTTCAGAAATAGGGACCCAGTACAATAATTCAATATTGAACTATTCAATATTCAACACGCTGTTCAATGATTCAATATTAAATTCCCCAGCTGCCTAGATATCTTTTGTTGACTACTTTCTCTGCCTGGAAGACAATTAATTATTGATGATAATTTTCTCATGTACTTCCTGAAGAAGCCTTCTCTCCCACTGGCCTGCCACTAAAATAGATTTAAAAACACAAAACAAAACTAGCCAAAGCCTTGCGTTACGTGTGTATGTGGACATATATGTCCACACGTGTGTGTGTGGACACACACACACACACATATGTGGTGCGGGGGGTTCCCCAACTGGAGTGGACTGGGGAGTCCTTCAGGCTTACCCAAGGGAAGACTGGGCCTCTATCTGGCTGGGTTCCACATCACTGAACCCCAACTTTCTACAGCTGATCTACCTCTTCCTCTTTCACCTGTCGCCTGCCGAGCCGTTGATGAACAGCTACCATGATCGGGCCACCCCTCCTCCAGGTCTCCAATCCCAGAGGAGTTACCCCAGCAACCTGGCAATGCTCCTCAAATCTCAACGAGCGGCGGCTGTGCCAGGGGATTAACTACAGCACCTGCAAGGCCGTGCCGGCTCCTGGCCGCACCCTATCAGCCGGGAAGAACCAGCGAGGGAATTCCTACTCCAGGACCGTGGGGTCCTCCCGCGGCTCTGACAGCCCCCAGGAGGGAGCCCCAAACTCCCGGTGCCAGCTGCAGCCGCCTCGATTTCCGAAAAGCTTTCGGATGCTTTCCGAAGTCGGAGAAGCAACAGTCCCGGGGCTCACCTTTGCGCTGAAGAGGTGTCGGGAGTCTCGGGGAAAAGGCACAGCTGTACAGAAAGGAAACGTTGTAGGGGGGTTAGGAGACCGGCAACATCGCGGCGAATCCGGCGACCCCACTGCCCCAACACCCCAGCCCGGGAATTCCCCCTTCTCCAGGCAGATACTCACCCCGCACCCTCTTCCAATCCGGGGCAGGAGGAATCCGTCCCTGGGGCACCCGCCCACCTCCCACCAGGGCGAGGGGCGCTGCACAGGGGGAGAGGGGAGGCTTGCACCCCAAACAAGCTGCTTTGTGCAACGCTGTCACCCGAAATCCGCCACCGCCCCCACGCACGCCCCCAGAGCGGCGAGCCTCCCACCTCTGAGCGCCGGCGAGGCGGTGCGCGCCGCCCAGGACCGCAGGCGCCTCTCCGGAGCCGCGCGCCGCGCGCACAGGACGGCAGGAGCCGCGCCGCGAGCCCCAGGCTCCTCTCCGCCGCCGCCGCCGCCGCCGCCGCTTCCGCCCCTGTCACGGCGTGACCCGGGGTGGGAGGAGCCGGCGGGACCAGGGATGGGCACGGTCCCCGCCTTCGCTTTAGCCGCGGAGCTCGCTCCGCCCTGCCCATTTCCGCCGCTGCGCAAACCCGGCGCCTGGGGCAGAGGGCGGAGTCTGTGCAATAAGGTACGGGGCGGGCGTGGAGACGGGGCGCGGGGGGAGGGGGCGGGAACTGAGGAGGGCGCGGAAAAGAGGCGGGGCGCGGGCGGAGGCGGGGCGCGGGCGGAGGCGGGGCGCCGGCAAGAGGCGGGGCGCGGGCAAGAGGCGGGGCGCGGGCAAGAGGCGGGGTGCGGGCAAGAGGCGAAGCGCGGGCGGAGGCGGGGCGCGGGCAAGAGGCGGGGCGCGGGCAAGAGGCGGGGAGCGGGCAAGAGGCTGGACGCGGGCGGAGGCGGGGCGCGGGCGGAGGCGGGGCGCGGGCAAGAGGCTGGACGCGGGCGGAGGCGGGGCGCGGGCGGAGGCGGGGCGCGGGCAAGAGGCGGGGCGCAGGCGGAGGCCGGGCGCGGGCAAGAGGCGGGGCGCGGGCGGAGGCGGGGCTCGGGCAAGAGGCGGGGCGCAGGCGGAGGCGGGGCGCGGGCAAGAGGCGAGGCAGGAGCGGGGGCGGGAGCGGGGGCGGGGGCGGGGGCGGGGCGGGGGCGGGCGCGGGCGCGGGAAAAAGGCGGGGCACGGGCGGAGGGGTGACGGAGGCGGGAGGTACCCGCCCCTGTGGACGGCGGCGTTGGCGGAGAGTTCCCGCCCCTGGGGAGGTTGGCGGTGGCGGAGGGAAAGGCAGGCGACCCGCGGTAAACGAGGTAGGCTCCCTTGGGCCCAGAGGGTGGGGTGAGAAACGGAACGATTTGCTGGGCGTATCTGCGCCTGTGCGAGGACTCCCGGGAATCCTTACAAGCATGGACAGCCCCGCGATCGGCCCTGTGAAGTGAGGTTCAGGAAGTAGGGGGGAAACGGAATAACCACGACGGGCTGTAAATGACCTGAATCCAAGGTCCGGGATTTAAAGTGCCTCCAAAGCATTGCTGTGTTTTAGCGATTTTTTTTTTCTTTCCTTTTAGTGTTTTTTTTTTTTTTTTTTTAGAGACAGGGTTTCACCATGTTGGACAGGCTGTAGTGTTTTTCTTTTAGAGACAGGGTCTCCCTCTCGCCCAGGCTAGTGTGCAGTGGCACAATCATGGCTCACTGTGACCTGGAACTCCTGGGCTCAAGTGATCCTCCGGCCCTAGCCTCCCCAGTAACTGGGACTACAGGTTCCCTGCACCACGCTTGACTAATTTTTTCAGATTTTTATTTTATAGAAACGAGCTGTCGGTTTTTTCCCCGGCATGGTGTATTAATGATTTTTAGGAAAAGAGAAGTACTGGCAAATAGTGAGTGATTCTCTGGTGATGTGGGAACCTGCGGTGCTGTGAATATTCTATCTCTTGCTCTGCGGTGGTTACACAGATTTATGCCTATGAAAAAAAATTCACCGAGTCATACTCTTTTAAGATTTGTGCACTTTAGGGAAGTTTCTCCTCGATTTAATGAAAAAGTAAAACCAAAGCAGAAACTTTTGAAAAGGTGAGAACAGAGACTAGAACAACTTGAGGACTTGGACCACCAAAGGAGCACATCTACACTTCCTGTTTGTGAGCAAGAATTACTGTAAAATTTCCCTTCCTTAATTCTTGTAATGTGCACTTTTTTTGTGTTTTAGAAATAAACTTTATTTCTCCAGAAACGGTGTGTACAAATGGAGTCCATGCTGAGAAATTGTTAGAACAGCTAAGACGTTGAGCTCTGGAGTTGTAGACTAGCCTGGGTAACACAGGGAGACCCTGTCTCTACAAACTATTTAAAAACTAGCCAGGCATGGTGGCACACCCCTGTAGTCCCAGGTACTCAGGAGGTTGAAGTGGGAGGATCCCTTGAGCCCCAGTGTTGGCAATGGTAGTGTCATTGCACCACTGCACTCCCGCTGGGGAATAGAGGGACATCCTATCTCAAAAACAAACAAACAAAGTAAACAAACAACTAAGATGTGATTAAGTTATGCATGTGATTTAGTTATACACTTAGTTCAAGTTCGTGTGAAAGGAATAGAGTTGTGCTTCTCCAGGCTGCTGTGGCTCTATGATAAAATGATGCTTCTCTTTTGAGTAGAGAACTGTTTTTCGAAGCCTTGAATTTAGGTTCCGGAGTTTCTGAATGAAAATGAAGATGAGAACACTGCAACATTCTTTTGTTTTTCTGTACCCAATATAAATCAGATACTTTCTGCTGACCTCTCAGAAAACTCGGAGAGTCACCTCCTAATACCATCAGGGTCTTGCAAATGCCATTTGTCTACAAATGTTTGCTACGAAGTGAATTTCATGTTTCCAAGTAATGAGAGAAATGCCTCCTCCCTATATCCTAAGCATACTGAGGTCAAATTTGGCAATGAAAGGGGAAATTTTCCTGAAATACATGCTTTTATGCAATGTTTGCTATTTCACAGATGAATCATTAAATAGACCAATCAATAATAGCATGCTAGTATAATCCAAACTAATTTCACTAATGATTTAAAGGGAATGTTGGAATTATGGTGTTATATTGTCCTTAATATTGCAAAGTTGACATTGAAAGGACAGATGTTTTCCTCATACATTCAGATGGATCTGCAGTTATGGTCTGACAGCTGAAGAATAAGAAGTTCATAATTTAGAAAGGAGAACTGTATTTCTCATTAATGGTTTCAGACTATAAGGTAGCCATTCTGACTAGCTGAGCAGTGTAGCCTCCAGCCAGAAGCCAGAAACTGACACTTCCAGGGACAGAAAATTTACGCTGAGGAAGGTGGCTAAATATACATATTCAGTAAGCTGTAGGATGACTCATGAATATTTACAAAAGGAGGAAAGGTACCCATATGTAGCATGCACAAAAAATGGTAGTGTTAGCACAGTCAGAGGATGGAGTTTTTGGCCCTCTTACGTCAAAAGGTGAAGTAGAGGATAGAAAAAAAACCCTTACTGTGCATTCTCGGTAGACCGGTCAGAACCACTCTGGTCTGTAATGTCTGTCGGGCACAAAAGGAGCAGCAGCATCAAGGGGTTGCTTGATATCAGAGGTAGAATCTTTTGAAAGAGCTCGTTTCTGTTAAGTCCTTAGGGAACAAAGCCTAATTGTGGTTAGCAAGAGAAGAGGTATAGAGTTGTCAGCTCTATGACGCTCTATCTGCTCTTGGCCCAAAACTCAGTTTTCAAGGTTATTCTGGGGTCCCGTTAGCCAAGAAAATGTACAGTGAGCTGAGATCGTGCCACTGCACTCCAGCCTGGGCAACAAGAGCAAACTCCATCTCAAAAAAAGAAAAGAAGAAAAGAAAGTGTGCTTTCAATCAGTTGAGAGGCTTTGTATTTTATTGTTAGTTTGCATTCTACATGTCTTTTTTCAGTTTCCTTAGCGTGCATTTCCCATGCAAAAAAAGAAGCTATAGAAAATTATTTGAAAATACAAATGTATTGAGTAGAGATAGGATATTGAACCACAGTTCAATATCTACTTTAATTTGTTCTTGCTCCCTCCTGAAAATAATGGGATTTTTTTAAGGCATGAAGTATTAAGATAGCGGGGACAGGAGAGACAGAATTAATAAAATTTTGGAAAGTCAAATGCATGAGTGGGAAAGGATTTTGCAACTTCAAGGAAGCTGACTTCTAAACCAGCAATGAGGAAAGCCATTGAGCAGCTCAGTTTGCATTACAGAATCCCCAAATGCTCAGGATTAGCACCATGAAGGTACCTCCATGAAGTGTGAAAGTATGGTTGAAACAAAGAGGATTGTTTGAAATGCTAGTTCAGAACAGGCCAAATCTTCCGATCCCTTTCTCAATTTCTTGGAGCCAGGTGTGTACATCTCACCACACCAACAGGCTTTTGAGAGTTTATTTTCTGGAAAGGGTAAAACAAAGAGTATCCAGATTGAGAAGATGTAATACACAGTTGAGCGTGGGAGTATACAGAAAACAGGAGGATTAATTGAATACAGAAAACTGGATGCTGGGACCCTCATTCACTTCTCTTCTTCTTTTCCTATGTGAGTATGTAACAGAGGCTCCAATGAGTAAATCCTAGAGACAGGAATTGGGAGATCCATCTATGGAAAGTCTGAATAGCACAAGGAAAATAAAGACATTAGCTGGGCATGGGGCTGTGCACCTGCAGTCCTAGCTACTTTGGAGGCTGAGACAGGAGGATCACTTGAGCCCAGGAGTTTGAGGCTGTATTGTGCGACTACAGCACTTCAGCCTGGGTGACAGAGTAAGACCCTGCCTCTAAAAAAAAAAGAAAAGAAAAAGGAAAAATAAATACATCTAGATTTCCAAATGAAATCCACTCACATCACCCTACAGTATAAGCCCCGCCTACATTCTTCACCTTTATTTATTTTAGTACCTATTTGTTGTTGTTGTAAGACAAGGTCTTGATCTGTAGCCCAGGCTAGAGTGCGCTGGCACCATCATAGCGCACTGCAGCCTCAAACTCCTAGGCTCAAGCCATCCTCCTGCCTCAGCCTCCTGAGTACTTTGGATTACAGGCATGCACCATCATGCCTGGCCAATTTTAAACTGTTTTTGTAGAGATAGTGATCTCACTATGTTGCCCAAGTTAGTCTCAAACTCCAGGCCTCAAGCCATCCTCCTGCCTTGGTTGCCCAAAGCACTGGGCAACTGACAGAAAAAAAAAAAAAAAAAAAAAAAAAGAAGCTTAAAAAATGAGAATTAAGGTAAATCTTTTAGAAAATAGTGCAGAAAAATGAAGATATAGAAAAATAGAAATAGAAAAAATGAGGAATTTACCATGCCATCTCTGAAGACTCTAGAGACAAATAACAGGGGTCCTAGAAAGAGAAATAAAAAAGCAGAGGGACAGCCAGGTTCAGTGGCCCACGCCTGGAATCCCAGCACTTTGGGAAGCCGAGGCAGGCAAATTACATGAGGCCAGGAGTTCGAGACCAACCTGGTCAACTCTCATCTCTATTAAAGATTAGCTGGATATGTTCATGTGCACCTGTAATCCCAGCTACTCAGGAGGCTGAGGTGGTCGTGATTTTTCACTAAACCTTTAGGGTGCCAACAGCCTATGGCCCCCACACTTCTAACCAAGAATTTGATACCCAGCAGAGCTATACATCAAGGGTGAGGAATAGTCCATGTTTTATACATGCAAAATCAGAAAACAGTATTTTTCTTTCTTGTGCTCTTTCAGGAAGCTCTGGAGGTTGGGCTTCACCAGTTTAAGGGTGGTCACTAAAAAACAACAACAACAAAAAAGAGTAAGACATGAAATAAAGAAAGCAGGATATTCAGACAAGAAGGAAATCTCCAGGATGATGATGAAGAGAAATCCCAGAAAGCTAGCTGTCTACCAGAATAGAGGGTGGTCAGGGCAGATTCCAGGAGAGAATTCTCCAAGATGATACTGAGACAATATGACTGGAGAGATAGAGAGTATATTGACAGGAAATTGGGACAATTGGCAGAATTTAGAGTTGAATTAGTAGTAAGCACATAGAAAGTTCAAATCAATCACCAGTGGCCAATGATTCAATCAATCGTGCCCACATGAAGCTTACATAAAAACTTTATGTAGCTTACATAAAAACCCAAGAGGATGGGGTTTGGAGAGCCTCCTAATAGCTGCAGGTGAAGGTTCCTGGAGCTGCACATCTCTTCATCTATATCCTTCACAGTATCCTTTATAGTAAACATGCAAAGGTAACTAAGTATTTCTCCGAGTTTAATTCACTCTTGCAAATTAAGCAAACCCAAAGTGGAGGCTGTGGGAACCCCAACTTGAAGCTGATCAAGGCCTGGACTTGTGACTGGTCTGTAAGTGAGCGGGGCATGTCTTAGAGACTAAGCCCTCAAAATATGGAATCTGACCCTATCTCCAGATAGGTAATGTCAGAATTACATTAGAAGACACCCAACTGGCGTCCAATATTTGGTATGCTGGGGGAAGAATCCCCACATTTGGTCACAGAAATCTTCTGTGTTGACGATTGAGATGTTAGAGTGGAGGAAACATTAGTGTTAAGCTATAACAATTTATTTAATGATTTCTCGTAATGTGTAGTAAGGGGTATGCCTCTACCACCAGACTCACTGAAAGTAATTTTTTGTATCACTTTTTATCGGATATTGGAGTGGCTAGGTAGTGACTCACACTTGTAATCCCAGCACTTTGCAAGGCCAAAGCAGAAGGATCCCTTGATCCCAGAAGTTCTTTGTTGCCTGGACAACAAAATGAGACCCCATCTCTATTAAAAAAAAAAAATACAAAAATTAGCCAGGTGTGGTGGTATGTACCTGAAGTCCCACAATCCTGGCTACCTGAAAGGCTAAGGTTGGAAGATTGCTTGAGCCCAGGAGGTTAAGGCTTATGGTAAGCCAAGGTCCCAAGCCCGGATGACAGAGCAAGAGCCTGTCTCTAAAAAAAAAAAAGAAAGAAAGAAAGAAAGATTAGCCGGGCGTGGTGGTGCACACCTGCAATCCCAGCTACTTGAGAGGCTGAGGCAGAAGAATCACTTGAACCCAGGCGGTAGAGGTTGCAGTGAGCCAAGATCATACCGCTGTACCCCAGCCTGGGCAACAGAGTGAGACTCCATCTCAGAAATAAAAACAAAAATTAAAAAAAAAAGAAAGAAATATTTTTAAAAAGTTCTACTGCCAAGAATAATAGGTTTTCATATAGCTCATCAATAGAATCCCAATGACCTTAAATGACAACATTGCAAATATTTTCCACCTAGGCACAGAAGACATACTCTTGAAAGACAAAGGTGCCTATGAAACTATGGATGGTAGAATAACTTCACTTGATATTGAAGAGTACCCCAATACTGAGGTACAGAAAAACCAAGTACTAACTCTGGAAGAATGGCAAGACAAGTGGGTTAACCGCAACACCGCTTTTCATCAGGAACAAGGACATCAGTAAGAAATATTTAGTGAATAATAGGGAAATGCTCTTATCAGAAACTGACTTTGAGATAGAAATAATAAGTATATATTATTTGACTAATTTTTAAGATGCACATTTAATTCTTCACATTTTTGTGTCTGAATCACAGTGCATCTACGGCATGATGTAATTTAATTGGCAGTGTCTTTTCTTTCCACAGTGTGTAAATAATGGTGTGACTTACAACTGGTAACATCTTACATTTATAAAATATGTTCTTGGATCCCCTGCACCATGTGTGTATTGGTCATGCATATTTATACCTACAACAGCTGCTCAAACAATGTTTATATTTACGATTCTTGATACTGAAAACCAGTGGTGTCTGACTTTGCTTTCCAATATGATGTGTTCAGATGTTAAAGAATTATCTTGGCCAGGCGTGGTGGCTTGTGCCTGTAATCCCAGCATTCTGGAAGGCCGAAGCAGGTGGATCACAAGGTCAGGAGATCAAGATTATCCTGGCCAACATGGTGAAACCCCATCTCTACTAAAAATACAAAAATTAGCTGAGTGTAGTGGCATGCATCTGTAATCCCAGCTACTCAGGAGGCTGAAGCAGGACAATCGCTTAAACCTGGGAGGTGGAGGCTGCAGTGAGCCGAGATCGTGCCACTGCACTCCAGCCTGGGGACAGAACATGACATCGTCTCAAAAAAAAAAAAAAAAAAAAATCCCTGTGGTGGGAGAAGAGAAGTTGCGAGAAATTAAAAAGCGAGCTAGGATGTTATGTGATGTACTAATAGTCCTCATAGTAGCAATTAGTCATTGGACCAGTGCAAAGTGGTCGTTATAGACATTCCTTGTTCTGGGCAGCCACGCCCATCTCCCCAGGAGATGACATCATCCTCATTGTAGGGCTGAGGGCCCCACAGGGTCGTGGGGTGTCCCTTATGCTGTGCTGAGGCACAGGATCCGAGAAATAAAGAGACAGGACACAGAAGTACAAGGAAAACACAGCTGGGCGCAGGGGGCCATGCCACCTATGAGTGGAGGAGTCAGGCGAGGCCCCGAATGTCCAGAAGCGTGTGTATTTATTGTGTATAGGTTAAGGGGCAGGGCAGTGAGTGAAGTCATCTTTAAGGATAGTGATAGGATTGTGAGCAATAAAACAAGGGGTCCACCCCCATTAGGTCACCTAGGCTAGGAGATGGACAGTGTACAGCAAGGGGTCCATTCCCATTAGGTCACCGAGGCATGGAGGTGGGCCGTGTGCAGTGAAGAGGGTGCAGTGTGCAATACCTCTATCTATGGGCAAGCTACTTCTAAGATTTATAGAAGGATGCTTTGAGTCACGCAGCGGTGACAGAGCTGTCAGGATCTACGCCACCTGCTGGCAGCTTCCAGTGAGTTCTATAAGAGAATGCTTTTTGAGCCAGCACAGTAACAAGAGCTGATAAAGTTTACAGTCACTAAGGTGCAATTGCCAGTCTGAGGGCAGCCTTCCACGAGAACTGGAGCAAGGTCCTACAACTTCTTTATCAGGAGGAGTGGCTCTCGCCCCAAGCCTGCCATACAGCGGATATCTTTATGATACTGAACGCTGCCGCCTGGGCCATGGATTCTTGTCCTGATATAACTGTTTTCCCCTTAAATCATGCTCTGCACTGTGTCTGCTCCAGACATTTCTCCAACTATAAGCTGCTTATTCCTTAATTCATGCTCTGTACTGTATCTGCTCTAGGCATTCCTCCAATTATGAACTAAGATATAGTTATATGTATATGGAAATAACTGAGTGGTGAGATTCTTTAGGCACTCATTCTAAGAACTAATATACGATTATATATAGAGGATTGTATAAAGGGAAATAACTGAGTGGTAACACTATAAACTGAGATATTCTCCAAGCCCTAAGTGTGCCAGGATTCTGCTTAGTTCTCCTTCCTCAGTGCCTATATGGAGGGTTACCCACATTCATCATCCCAGAAACATTGGGTTATCTCTGTCATGTGGATGGCCTTAGAAGAGCCACATCTCCACAGAGGGAATTACAAGAACTACAAGAGTTAACACTTCTCAGATTTACTTCTAAGGTTTGAGTACATGTTTAGAGAACTTACAGGAAACGAATATTGAAAATCCATGGCTCCAGAGGCTCCATCACCCCAAAATAGTATATATTTAGAGAATTAATAAAGAATTTTTGGCCAGGAGCAGTGAGTCATGCCTATAATCCCAGCACTTTGGGAGGCCAAGGCGGGCGGATGACGAGGTCAGGAGATCGAGACCATCCTGGCCAACATGGTGAAACTCCGTCTGTACTAAAAATATATATATATATAAATTAGCTGGGTGTGGTGGTGTGTGCCTGTAATCCCAGCTACTTGGGAGGCTGAGGCAGGAGAATCACTTGAGCCTGGGAGGAGGAGGTTGCAGTGAGCCAATATTGCGCCACTGCACTCCAGCCTGGTAACAGAACGAGACTCCATCTCAAAAAAAAAAGAATGTTCAAAACATACCCAAGAAAAAAAAAATTATTTTTAATTGCTAATCAGGAAAGCCCTAGGTGTAAGTCAGATTTACCACTGACTGGGTGTGTGTCTGAGCAAGTTATATAACTATTTCTTCATATGTAAGCTGGAGATTATAATAATTAATAGTATCTGCTTATTAAGGTTGTTGGGAATATTAAGTGAGATAATGAATGAAAAGTATTCACTTACCATACAATTGTCCTAAATTTTGTTTTTTCTCCTTAGGCTACTAAAGAAGCATTTAGATACTTTTCTTAAAGGCGAGAGTGGACTAAGAGTATTTTTTCCTCTCTGCGGAAAAGCAGTTGAGATGAAATGGTATGAGCAGATAAACGTTAACACAATTCTCTTGTCGTGATGAATTATTTGGATGATTTAACAGGCTGTGAGTTTAAAAACTCCATTTTTAGGAAATACACGGGAATTCCTTATTTTTCTATTAGTGATGTGTACATAATTGTAAATCATATTCTCAAACAGTAAGAAACAACAGAAACAGGTATGACCTAGTCTTTCTGGATTGAGTTTTGACATTTAAAAATCAGTTTGGAACCAATGGTGGGGAGGAAAACCAGCCTTCCTGCTTACATTTCCCGGATCCTTGTATGTGGTTCAGTTTTTGTAGATGGTTTAGGAATTTAGCTAAGTTAATTTTAGATATTTGAAATGGTGGTGGACAGAGAAATTCAAAATGAATTGCAGCTTTTTGGCAGGACAGGGTTCATAGTCCACAGTTCAGCTCAACCTTCTCCTCCCATCAGGGAACACAGGAGTTTCTGTTATCATGAATTGTTGTTATAAAACCAGTGATTAAGAAACTATTTCTTGTGAATAATTCTCTACAAAGAGTATTCACTTTAACAAGCCACTTTTACTGTCAGTTACCCTAAAGTCACCTCAACATCGTTCTCTATACAGCACTCTGTTGTAAAGATAATGTACAGATACAATCATACCTGCCAAGATGTGTATTTATTTATAAGCTTGAATGTTGAAAACTTTGATCACTGAGCAGGAAAGAAAAAAGAATGTATGTAAAGGTTAGTAAATGGGCCAGGTGTGGCGGCTCCTGCCTATAATCCCAGCACTTGGGGAGGCCCAGGCAGAAAAACCTCTTGAGCCCAGGAATTTGAGACTAGCCTTGGCAACACAGTGAGACCCTGCCTCAAAAAATAAATTAAAAATAAAAGATTAATAAATGTAAAATATAATAACTTAAAAATGGTCTGTTTTGAATATAAGTATCCGTGACTAACACGGAGTATGCATGCACTTTTGGGGAGCTGATTTTTAAGTAGAGACGATAGAATTACTACAGCCAGCCCACACTCCCACACTCAACTGTAGCGGAGAGCCTTTATTAGATGGCTGCTCTGACTTTAAGATTCAAGTGTGGGCATGAAATAGAGAATATTTAAACTATATTATTACACCTATATTTTAACCAACTCATTGAGCCATAAGAGATACTTTCAAAACTACCCTAAAAAAAAATTAACTCTATAAACAGACTGTCACACAATGTCATCATAAATAGTAACAATGCAGTACAAGCAGGTTTTGAGGGAACATTAGGAAAATGGTATGAAATAGCCAATTAAATGTGATTGTGTCTAAAGCCATTTGTAATTAAAATGTTACAAAAAATATCAGAACTGGCCATGTGTGGTGGCTCATGCCTTTAATCCCAGCACTTTGGGAGGCGAAGGTGGGTGGATCACTTGAGGTCAGGAGTTTGAGACCAACCTGGCCAACATGGTGAAAACCCACCTCTACTAAAAACACAAAAATTAGCCAGGCATGGCGGCACATGCTTGTAATACCAACTACTCAGGAAGCTGAGGCAGGAGAATTGCTTGAACCCAGAAGGCGGAGGTTGCAGTGAGCCCATGCACTCCAGCCTGGGCAAGAGTGAGACTCCGTCTTCAAATATATATATGTAAATACAGTTTTATATATATATATATATATATATATATATATATATATATATATATATATCTCAGAACTTTTGCTACTGTAATTACATGTAAGAAGTTAAGTTATGGTAATAGATGATTTTTCATTTATGTAACTGATCCATGTTTTGAGGTCTATACAGACATCAGATGTGAATAGAAAAGCTGACCATGAGGTAAGGACAAAAAGCATTAAAATGAAATGTTTAAGACATTTAGGTTTTGTTTTTTGTTTTTTTGGGAGAGTTTCACTCTGTCACCCATGGTGGAGTGCAGTGGCATGATCATAGCTCACTGCAACCTTGAACTCCCAACCTCAAGATATCCTCCCTCCCAACATGCTGGGATAACAGGCATACGCCACCACGCTTGTCCTTACTTTGTTTTTATTCCAGGTTGTAGTAAGCTATTCTTCATTCTTCTGTCTGTCAAATGGGAAATAAAAATGCATGCGGCTAATCTGAATAACGTTTTTGTTTACATTTTATAACTTCAAAAAATGTATGGAGAATTTTAAAACTCCCTGTATGTTTACAAATACCCTAGGAAATATGAAAGATGAAAGACAAGTTACTAATATGTTTCATTTTACAACTAAACAGTTCATCCTCTGCCCACATTGAAAGTATGTTCTCTTTTGTAGACAAAAGGTACAGTCAGTCCTGCTATACTTGTTTCAAAACTGAATTCTAACTCAGTTGATATATTAGGGAACAATCTGAGCATGAAATAAATTTCACATTTGTTTGAGTGTGATTTTACCTACAAGAAGCCTTAGGTAAAGGCAGAAAACTGCACCCAGTGGAACTAAGCCATGTATGAATGGACAGAATGCACAAACATCTCCCAGCTACCTCAGTAAACATTAGATCTTTTTCACAGTGAAGTGCCCTATTGTAGTATTTATCTATTTCTCAACCATTTAGCATGTGTAAAACTGTTACTATTAGGTTCCTGGTTTTTGTTTTGTTTTGTTTTGTTTTTTAACGTGGCACTAACAAAGGTTTTAAATGCTGTGCCCTCACTTTCCCTACCAGCATGGTGATTTTTGTTGCATGATTTAGCAAAGTGCAGCGATTTCAGAAAGGTACATGTTGCATTATAGCAGAACTATGTTTTTATTTCACTGGACATAAAAGCATAACTGTGCCTAGGTACTTGTGCTACTGGTGATGTTTTCTCTTGAGTCCAAGATCCTGAGACTGAATTCTGTTGATTATAAAACTTACCAGGACTATAATCCCAGCACTTTGGAAGGCCGAGGCAGGCAGATCACTTGAGATCAGGAGTTCAAGACCAGCCTGACCAACATGATGAAACCCCAAATCTACTAAAAATACAAAATTTAGCAGGGTGTGATGGGGCACACCTGTAATCCCAGCTACTCGGGAGGCTGAGGCAGGAGAATTGCTTGAACCCAAGAGGTGGAGGTTGCAATGAGCTGAGATTGTGCCACTGCACTCTAGCCTAGGTGACAGTGAGACTCTGTCTCAAAAAAAATTTTTTTTTTGAGGAAAAGCTTTTTCTCAAAATTACCAGGAAAAAGCTGGGTGCAGTGGCTCATACTTGTAATCCCAGCACTTTAGCACTTTGGGAGGCCAAGGCAGGCAGATTGCTTGAGGCCAGGATTTCGAGACCAGCCTGGCCAGCCTGGTGAAATCCTGTCTCTACTAAAAATACAAAAATTAGCGGAGTGTAATCCAGGCACCTGTAATTCCAGCTACTTGAGAAGCCAAGGCAGGAGAATCACTTGAACCCAGGAGATGGAGTTTGCAGTGAGCCAAGATTGTGCCACTGCACTCTAGCCTGGGCAACAGAGCGAGACTCCATCCCCCCCCAAAAAAAAAAAAAAAAAAAGAAAAGAACTATTTGCATATGAAAAATATACAAATTTTTGGATAGCATTTATTTTAAGCAAATGGAAACCACAAGATTAGTATAGAAATGAGTGCTAATATTCTAGACCTGTTCACTTCAATACAGTAGCTATTAACCACATGTGGCTATTTAAATGTAAACTAAATAAAATTTAAAATTCAGTTCCTCAGTCACAAGGAGCCAAAGTGATTAATGGCTGTTTTATTGGACAGCACAGATACAGACATTTTCATCACTGTAGAAAATTTTTTAATGGACAGTACTGATTTAGAGAACTGAAAAGCATTTCCTCTAGTCAAATCAATTTGCATTAAATGAGTATTTTAAATTATATATCTATCATTACATTCCAACTGTTCCATATATAAAAATAAGATATATATGATTTTCCAAATTTTTATTGTTTCCTGATAAGTCAGTTTTTCAGAATTTTTTTAAGGTTTGAAAATAATATAGATGTGCTTTCCTGCATGTTCTTTGAAATCCTGTGAACTTTAATTCATATAAATGCCTTTAAATTAAAGAAAATATATGCTTACTACAATATAACCCTTTATTTAGTCATTTGAACACATAATTTAAGTGTAAATGTATCATTTTATGCAGGTTTGCAGACCGGGGACACAGTGTAATTGGTGTGGAAATCAGTGAACTTGGGATACGAGAATTTTTTACAGAGCAGAATCTTTCTTACTCAGAAGAACCAATCACCGAAATTCCTGGAGCCAAAGTATTTAAGGTTTGTTTTGGTTTGGGTAAATAATTGTATCCATAGTCCCACAAACATTTTTCTCAGCCTGAGTATTGTATGGTTACCATATATGTGTCTTATGGTTTCTATTTAGCACACAGATTCACCCTAGGCATTATATAGTATAAGGAGTAAGGGCTTAAGAATACAGGTGATAGCTACCTAAATAGATATAGACATACATATGTAAAAGCTGAGGTCGAAGCCTCTCTGTACTCAAGTTTTTAGTTTTTTTTCTATTTTTATTAACATGTATTTCAACATGTGCCAGGCTCTGCCTATGATGTTGAAAAGGTAACACAGCCCCCCACCAAAATATACATATCTATATATCTATATATCTATATATATAGATATAGATATAGATATCTTGGTTAAGGAGAGAAGAGAAACAGAGACTAAGCTATTTGTAATGTATGGAGCTAAGAGTAAAGACACAGAGTACTAAGGGAAGAGATGGGAGTTACCTGCCTAGCCTGGCGGTGCTTCCTGAAGCATGATGACAGATAGAGCTGCAATCAGGCAGGGCCTGGGTCCACGGTCTTCCTGATGCTTCCGGACAGACCCCTGCTCTGCCTCCTATGTTCACATAGTTCGCCGGCACAGAACCATAACACAACAGGCCATTCTGGACTGTAATGTTTCTCTGTGCCCATACTTCACTGCTCTAGTCTGTCCTCACCGTGGTCAGAGACTGTGTCGAATTCAAATCTACTCTCTAGAACCCAGGATAGGTGTCTTTTCTACTAGGTGCTTGGCAAATAAATGCTCATTGGCTGAATGAATGAGTAAAAATGTAAGAATCAGCATGATTGCACATTTCCTGACTAACTTAAAATACCTGACTTTTCAATATCACCTTGCTTGGTTATTGGTTGACCTACAGATTTATCTTTAGCAGAGTAAAAATATCACTCTGCTTAGCTGGGCACGGTGGCTCACACCTGTAATCCCAGCACTTTGGGAGGCTCAGGAGGGTGGATCACCTGAAGTCAGGAGTTCAAGACCAGCCTGGCCAACATAGTGAAACTCCGTCTCTACTGAAAACACAAAAAATCAGCTGAATGTGGTGGTGGGCACCTGTGATCCCAGCTACTAAGGAGGCTGACGCAGCAGAATTGCTTGAACCCAGGAAGTGAAGGTTGTGGTGAGCCAAGATCATGCCATTGCACTCCAACCTGGGCAACAAGAACAAAACTCTGTCTCAAAAAAAAAAAAAAAAAATCACTCCGCTGAAGGAAACATTGCTAGAATTTTATAGCAAGCTCTGAAGTGAGTAACAGCCAACTGATCTTCAAGGTTGTCCTCTATGATTTTCCTCTGAGTTGGCCCAAAAGAACCCCACACGTTTTAAAAGAAAAAAATAAGGTGTCAGTAAAGTGCAGTAAAATTATTTACTTTCATTATGTTTAATTAACACATTCTCTAGCGCAGGCGTCCCCAGACTTTTTACACAGGGGGCCAGTTCACTGTCCCTCAGACCGTTGGAGGGCCGCCACATACTGTGCTCCTCTCACTGACCACCAATGAAAGAGGTGCCCCTTCCTGAAGTGCGGTGGGGGGCCAGATAAATGGCCTCAGGGGGCCACATGCGGCCCGTGGGCCGTAGTTTGGGGATGCCTGCTCTAGCACCTTTGCTTTGCTTGGGCCCTCTTTCCTTGACTATTGAAGTAAGTACTAAGTAAGTTAAAAAATTTTTTTCTTCATTATTTCATTACAGAGTTCTTCGGGGAACATTTCATTGTACTGTTGCAGCATTTTTGATCTTCCCAGGTAGGAATGAATACTACATCTGCACCTTAAAAAACTTGAATGCTTGCTAGGCAGCACAGGCATGGGAGCGAAGGTCTCTTCATCACTCTCCTCCACTTGTGTAACATCCACAAAGCATTTTTTTTTTAATGTCTGTTCTGCATATATTTTTATTACACACTTGTCTGCACACTTTAATGTGTTTTGTCTTTGGTTAGCTCCCAAACTATGGGAAACTGAGGCAGCTAGGGAAAAAGAAAGGTGAGTGAAACAGTGTCTTCTACCTTGCACGTGAGCCTATAATAGAAATGAATTTCAAGTGGTGTAGGGAGGTGAGAGCTCATCTCCTCAAAGTCCCTGATACCTGAGCCAGAGGCTGGGAGCAGAGTTGTCACACACTGTTCTTTGTTCCTTCTTCATGCCCCCTCATCGTAAGGATGAGGAAGCTGCTGCCACAGGCTCCTAAAACCATGACGGGCTGGATAGCTCTCCACACCCAGGTCCACACATAAGGACTTTATGAGGAAAAGCAGACCTGAAATCCTAATAACTTGACAATTGGTGAAGTACCAGCATGCGCCATGGGGGGCATTGTTCATCTTGTTAAAGATTCGATTTTACTCCCATAAAATGTTTTTTCTCTTTCTTGCAGGACAAATATTGGCAAATTTGACAGGATTTGGGATAGAGGAGCATTAGTTGCCATTAATCCAGGTGATCGCAAATGGTAAGTAATTTTTTTTATCTTTTTCTTTTTTAGCCTTCTTAATTTTTTAGTTTATTATGCTTTCTCTGGGTTCTAGAAAATCAGCTAGACTTTTATGAGTTTGAAATACCTTATTATATTTGGAATTCTTAAAAACCTAAATCCAATACCAGCTTTGCTTAAAAAGTATAGGATCTGGCTATAAAGACCTGGGTATAAGGCTATAAGGCTTGTGGCTCTATCACTTTCTTTTTCTTTCTTTCTTTCTTTTTTTTTTTTTCTGAGATGGAGTCTCAGTCTGTAGCCCAGGCTGGAGTGCAGTGGCATGATCTCGGCTCACTACAACCTCCGCCTCCCGGGTCCTGGTTCAAGCAATTCTCCTACCTCAGCCTCCCAAGTAGCTGGGATTACAAACATGAGCCACCTTGCCCAGCTAATTTTTGTGTTTTTTAGTTTCACCACGGGGTTTCACCACGTTGGCCAGTCTGGTCTTGAACTCCTGACCTCATGATCTGCCTGCCTTGGCCTTCTAAAGTGCTGGGATTACAGTCGTGAGCCACGGCACCTGGCCGGCTCTATCACTTTCAAGCTGTGTGGCCTTGGTCCGACTATTCAGCTTCTCTAAGCTTTGGTTTACTCCTGCAAAATGGGAATATTTCTGTGATACTAACACAGTCCTCACAATCTCCGCTGATAGAACCAGGTAATACCTACTGGTCACTTACCTATGCCAGGTATTGTTCAAAATACTTTATGTGGGCTGGATGTGGTGGCTCATACATGTAATCTCAGCACTTCGGGAGGCCAAGGCAGGACTACTTGAGCCCAGGAGTTTGAAACCAGTCTGGGCAACAAAGCAAGATGCCACCTCTACAAAATATTTTTAAAATTAGCCGACTGTGGTGGTATGTGCTGATAGTCCCAGCTACTCAGGAGGCTGAGGCAGGAGCATGAACCCAGAAGTTCAAAGCTGCAGTGACCTATGATCATACCACTGCACTCCAACCTGAATGACAGAGCAGGACCTTGCCTCTAAAATATTTGAAAAGAAAAAAAAAGCGGGCCAGGTTCGGTGGCTCAAGCCTGTAATCCCAGCACTTTGGGAGGCCCAGGTGGGTGGATCATGAGGTCAAGAGATCGAGACCATCCTGGTCAATATGGTGAAACCCCGTCTCTACTAAAAATACAAAAAACTAGCTGGTCATGGTGGTGCGTGCCTGTAATCCCAGCTACTCAGGAGGATGAGGCAGGAGAATCGCCTGAACCCAGGAGGCAGAGGTTGCGGTGAGCCGAGATCGCGCCATTGCACTCCAGCCTGGGTAACGAGCAAAACTCCATCTCGGAAAAAAAAGAAAAAGAAAAAGAAAAATAGTTTATGTGGTTTAATATTTAATTCTGTGAGGTATAAGCTACCATTCCATTATACAGATGAGGAAACTGAGAACAAAGAGGCTAAGTTACTTGTCCAAAGTTAGCTGGTATGTGACAGAGTTGAGATTCAAAACCAGAGTGTTTGGCTTTAAAGTACACACCTGTGGCCGGGAGTGGTGGCTAACGCCTATAAACCCAGCACTTTGGGAGGCTGAGGCAGGCGGATTACCTGAGGTCAGGAGTTCGAGACCAGCTTGGCCAACATGGTGAAACCCCATCTCTACTAAAAATACAAAAATTAGCATGGTATGGTAGTCTGTAATACCAGCTACTCAGGAGGCTGAGGCAGGAGAATCACTTGAACCCAGGAGGCAGTGGTTGCAGTGAGCCAAGATCATGCCACTGTACTCCAGCCTGGGCAACAAGAGTGATACTCCTTCTCAAAAAAATAAAATAAAATAAAGTCCACACTCATGATTCCTTTGTTAGACTACCTCAAAGGGTTGTTGTGAGAATTGAAAGAAATGAAATATGTGGGAAGTATCTTGACATCTGTAAAGAACTGTAAAAATAAGAGCTGTTATTATTGAAGCATTTGTTACTGATGTTTTTGGTGATCATTCTTATTACCCAGTCTTTTTAGAAAATAAAATTAAAATATGAAGAAGCATACTGAGTAGAACGTGACCACATCTATGTACTTTTCCAATTCAAATAATGTCATTTATATACTTACTTGGATATAGCATGTAAATATTGAATTATTTAGTTGTATGGAACAGACCCATCACTTAGGCAAAAAGGAGGCTGGGCGTGGTGGCTCATGGCTGTAATCCCAGCACTTTGGGAGGCCGAAGTGGGTGAGTCATGAGGTTAGGAGTTCGAAACCAGCCTGGCTAACATAATGAAGCTGAGTATCTATAAAAAGACAAAAATTAGCCTGGAATGATGTCATGCGCCTGTAGTTCCAGCTACTTGGGAGGCTAAGGCAGGAGAATCACTTGAACCTGGGAGGTGGAGGTTGCTGTGAGCAAAGATTATGCCACTGCACTCCAGCCTGGGCAACAGACCAAGACTCTGTCTCAAAAAAAAAAAAAAAAAAAGGTTAGGCTTCATATCAGTGAAGTAAGATTTTTATTTTTAAAAATTATTTCATCAGTAAGGCTTATTGCCAAACCTAATCGTTTTAAATTAGACCATGCCACATCTTAAGTATTATGCTCCTGTTTCCCCCCGTTTGTCACCGCCCCTCCTTTATCTCTTTTCTGGAACTCCCGTCCTCCCCCCATGCCTAAAACAAAAAGTCATGATTCCCCAAGGAACCACCATCCTTGGCCATTCACTCTCCTCTTATGCAAAATTTGTCAATATTTGTCCTACCAGAAAGAAAAAAAACATTTTATGAGAGAAAAATCAAATCTTTAATGATCAATTCTGTTACTTTCATCCAGCTGTTCAACAGATATTTACTAAGTTCCTGCAATGCTCTAAATATATGCCATGCCAGAAATGGGGAAAATAACTGAATTATTATACGTGGCATTTGCTCTGACCATCTTTATATTTCCAGCACTGTTCTTTCTCCCAAACATCCTCATCACGTGTCCAGTGTGTGCTTTGCATTTTCCATGTGACATCAGTGTCCTTTCACAACTCAAAATATCACTGAGACCTCTGTCTCCATATGACACATTTGTATACGAAACCCCATCTGTTAATGTCTAAATTTGTAGATGTTTCCCACTCCCTAAAGATGTTCATCCACTTCTTAGAGGTTAGTCTTTCTAGAGGCTCTGGTTGGCATGGTAAAATCCACCAAGCAGTGGGAAGCAAACTGAAAGTCACCAAGTGCAGACTAAGAGCAGACCCAGCACTTTGGGAGGCCGAGGTGGGTGGATGACCTGAGGTCAGTTATTTCCCCAGTGTCTGGCATAGTATATATTTAGCGCCTAGTAAGAGCTTAATAAATGTTTTTTGAATAAGTGAATGGAAGACGTGAACTGCACTCTGAGCAAGGGCGATATTACTTTACTATGTACTGGTAGTATCTTAGGGGTTTTTTTGAGACAGAGTTTCACTCTTCTTCCCCAGGCTGGAGTGGAATGGCGTAATCTCGTCCAACCGCAAATTCTACCTCCCAGGTTCAAGCAATTCTCCTGACTCAGGCTTCTGAATAGCTGGAATTACAGGCATGTGCCACCATGCCTGGCTAATTTTGTATTTTTAGTAGAGATGGGGTTTCTCCATGTTGGTCAGGCTGGTCTAGAACTCCCAACCTCAGGTGATCCGCCCCCCTCAGCCTCCCAAAGTGTTGAGATTACAGGCCTGAGCCACCGCACACGGCCGTATTTTAGTATTTTATGTATGTGCTGGTACTTAGTATCTTAGTTCTTTACGCACTGGTACGCAGTATTTACTACGTTAGCACATCATCCTGGTGCTCTCGTTAGGACTGTGTGTCTTCTGCTTAGATCGCACATTGTCAAGTACTAATATATTTTCTGCTGTGACTCTCGAGTTCTTGCCTAATGTAAACCAGTAAGGCACACCTCATTTTTCTGTATTTTCTGAGACTGGTTGAGAGAGAAAAAGTTCACATTCTAAGAGGAATGAAGTCTTTCAGTCCTAGGAAACCCTGCCAAACCAGTCTGACATGACCTTCCTGGTGACAGCAAGTTTCTTCTGAAAAAGAAGAATCGGAAAATTAAAAAGTAACAGTTTCTGTTCAAAAGTTTGCTTTGGTCTGGTTCTTTCACCTACAGGGAAGAGTGATCCACTGTTGAATTCTCACAAACTGTAAGGTGGTTACTAGTCTTATCCTCATTTTATAGGTGAGGAAACTGAGGCACAGATAGGTTAAGAATTTTGTCAAGCTTACATAGCCAGTCAGAAGGGCTGGGTTTTGAGCTTGGGCATCTCACAGAGTCCACACTCCTAATCTCCACATTAACCTCACCAGCTTCTCACAAACCTCTATGCCAGGCGTCCCCAAACTACGGCTCGAGGCCCTGAGGCCATTTATCCGCCCCCCCGCCGTACTTCAGGAAGGGGCACCTCTTTCATTGGTGGTCAGTGAGAGGAGCATAGTATGTGGCGGCCCTCCAACGGTCTGAGGGACAGTGAACTGGCCCCCTGTGTAAAAAGTTTGGGGACGCCTGGTCTAGACAGAGATCACAGTCTAGCCAGGCCCTGTAGAAACTGGAGTGCCAAGAGCCCAGGCTCCTTCCTCAGAGTGGGGAAGAGTATCCATCTTTGTCCTTGGCCTGTCTCTCATGGCGTCTCTACTTCCCTGCCTGCTTCTCCCATCCTCTCCTTATCCCTCTGCTTCCTCCGTTTCTATTTCCACCTAGCTGACTTGCCTTCAACCCTCAGCCTCCTTGCGCCTATCACCATACAACACAACTCCAGCTTTCACTAGGACCACAGCTAATTAGCACTTCCTCTTTGGTCTCTCAATTCAATTTCCAGGTGAGTCATCTGATTGGTCAACTCACTGTCTGTACCTGGTCTGGCCCTGACTTCTCCTTAGTCTATTGATGGGTCCTATTAGCATCAGCTTCCCACTCTGATCCAATCAGACCTGGCTCCCTGAGGCTTCTACTCAAAGGACAGTTGTGTTGTACTCATGGGTCATGTCACACTTGCAGAGCTTTAATTTCATGCCACCTTTTTTTTTTTTTTAGTTTGGCCTGCTTGTTATTTTCATTTCTCTCTAATTAAATAGAGGAAAAGAATGGTGTTTTCTCTTACATAAGGCCCCTGGAGAGGTCCCAGTAGCCAAGGATATTTCTTAAATCGCAGCATCCCAGGCCCCACAGCAAACTGATCGCATCTTTTCTTTCAACAAGCACCTGGTGATTCTGACACCCAGCCTGTTCTAGAAATCACTGCCTTGGAGCACACAGGCATCCAAGGTCAGCTGGTCCTCCAGTACCACATCAGGCCAGAAGGAGCCTCTGCCCATCCTTATGTGATATCTTCTGCTCTGATAAACTCTTGTGGAAGCAGGCCTCGATTTGATTCCCTTCTGGACCAATTTCCAGCTTAGGCAGGGGCCGTAATTTGCTAAACCCATTTCTCACTTTTAAAATGAAGATCAACCTCTCGTGATTATTAGGAGAGTTAAACTCAGTAATGTCAGTCAAAGCAACTTCTGGCTTCGTTCCCTGCCTTTTGTCCCCTCCAGCCTTTGTCTGTGTAGAGAAATGTAACAAATACCTTCTTGTGTTCTTTTTAGCTATGCAGATATAATGTCATCCCTCCTGGGAAAGAAGTTTCAGTATCTCGTGTGTGTTCTTTCTTATGATCCAACTAAACATCCAGGTAAAGTTGTTGGGTGTTTCTTTTTTCTTTTACCAGTTGCCTAGTTTCTTAATGTCAATTCTATGACATAGATAAGATATATTTTCCCCTAATTTATCTCACAGGAAGCATACTGCATATATACAGGGAGATATTCCATATTTAGCTAATGGGAATAAGCATTTTTTTCTTTTCCTATGTTGCACATGATTTTCTGGTATTCCTTTCCCATTTTGTTTACCATTCATAACTCAGACTACAGAAAAGGGAAGATATGGATACTGCTGATATAGAAGAAAAATCTCATGAGTCATATTGTGAGGAAGGAGGAATGTGGTTGGATATTGCATATCCACATCACCCACACGGGTAGTGACGTGTTAGGCAGATGCCTTCACATACGCAACACATCCTCATAAGAGCACAGGGTGAGAGGCGGACATGGGCGGGTGGGAGTTGTGCAGGAAAAGCTCTAAATTATTGTCCTTTTTTAATTTATGAAGTTTTATAATCTATCTATTGCATTCTTGTTTTGTTTTGTTTTGTGTTTGAGACTGAGTCTCACTCTGTCACCCAGGCTGGAAAGCAGTGACGTGATCTTGGCTCTTTGCAACCTGTGCCTGTCAGGCTCAAGCAGTTTTCCTGCCTCAGCCTCACGAATACCTGGGATCACAGGCGCATGCCGCTATACTCGGCTAATTTTTTTTTTGTATTTTAGTAGAAACGGGTTTCACCGTGTTGCCCAGGCTGGTCGCAAACTCCTGAGCTCAGGCGATCCACCCGCCTCAACCTCCAAAAGTGCTGGGATTATAGGCATGAGCCACCACGCCTGATCCATTGCATTCTTTTATAAGTATTTGTTTTGAATCTGTCGAGGATATGTTTTCCTCTGGACTGATTTTAATGCATTCGAACATTGAAACTTAACCTTTGTCATGGCTGGACTTGTAAAGGGAGAAAGAAATACACAGACTTAATTTGTAAGAATCTCCTTTTTGATTTTTAACTAGTTTTTTACATGCTTGTTTGTAAATATTTACATATGTTAGTATTTTTGGTTTTTGGTTTGGTTTTGTTCTGTTTTTGAGATACAGTCTCTGTTGCCCAGGCTGGAGTGCAGTGGTGTGATCTCAGCTCACTGTAACGTCTGCCTCCCGGGTTCAAGTGATTCTCCTGCCTCAGCCTCCCAGGTAGCTGGGATTACCGGCCTGTGCCATCACACCCAGCTAATTTTTATATTTTTAGTAGAGATGGCATTTCACCATGTTGGGCAGGCTTGTCTCACACTGTTGACCTCAGGTGATCCACCCTCCTCATCCTCCCAAAGTGCTAGGATTCCAGGTGTGAACCACTGCGCCTGGCCAGTATTTTGCTTCTGTTTGAATAAATCGGGGTCTTAAAAACTCATTAAAAGATGAGACCTAGCGTCCCTAATTAAATCTGAGATAATCAAAGGGAAATAGAAATTAATAGAGGCAGAAGTTAGGTCTGCTAATCTGATTTCAATCCCATTCATGGATAGGAGGCCTAATGAGGAACGTTAGGGAAGAAAACACAGCAGGCCCTGTCTGGAGGTGGAGGCTGAGAATACTGCTCTTAGAAGTGGCGGAAGCTCAGCTTCCTTATAGTCTATATCCTGCAGCAGAGCAGGAGGGGTGTATAAAACGTAGGTGAGTGCAGGAGTTGGTAGAAAATCGGTATGTCGGAACATGATTGAAACCCCAAAGGAATCTGCTGATGGACTCCACTCTGATTTCAATGAGCCAAAGTCCCCCGACTGGCTTAGCTGTCTCATCTAAGCTGGAGATGGTTACGATGGGTATGTAACATTGCCCTCCTCTCAGTAAGCCAGTTTAATTCTTCGGTATGAGATTTGTAAAAGAAGAATTATAAGAACATGCCATATCATCACCTATTTGGATAATAAAGTTGTGTTATACCCCCAAGTACCCCCAGGTCACTAGAAATCAACTGAGAATGTATTTCTCTTTTACCTAGGTCCACCATTTTATGTCCCACAAGCTGAAATTGAAAGGTTGTTTGGTAAGTTTGCAGACTTATGCTGTAAGTTTTTAAATAAAGTCAAGTTAACTCTTTTGGGCCGGGCTTGGTGGCTCATGCCTGTAATTCCAGCACTTTGGGCGGCCAAGGTGGGCAGATCACTGGAGGCCAGGAGTTCGATACCAGCCTGGCCAACATGGCAAAACCCCATCTCTACTAAAAATACAAAAATTAGGCCTGTGTGATGGTATGTACCTGTAGTCCCAATTACTTAGGAGTCTGAGGTATGAAAATTGCTCGAACCTGGGAGGCACAGATTGCAATGAGCCAAAATCATGCCAGTACACTCCAGCCTGGGTGACAGAATGAGACTTCATCTAAAAAAACTGTTGTGAACAATTAGTATATTATTTATTAGTATCTAGAGTATGTATATAAAATTTAAAAGAGATCAATAGAAAATTTAGAATAGAGTATGTATATGAAATTTAAAAGATAGAGATCAATAGAAAATTTAGAATAAAAATTTCAATGTTTTATTGAAAATTTTTTTTCTTAGAAAAGGAACTGATCTCTGTAAATATGCTATATATATATATATATATATATATATACACACACACACACACACACACACACACACACGTATGCCATATGCTTTATGTTAAGGGCATTTGAACTTTTCTAGAGAGATGGTATATTTATATTTATTTGTTTATTTTTGAGATAGGATCTTGCTCTGTCACCCAGGCTGGAGTGCAGAGGTGCAATCACAGCTCACTACAGCCTCAACCTCCCTGGCCACAGTGATCCTCCCACCTCAGCCTCCCAAGTATCTGGAATCAGAGTCATGCACCACAATGCCTAGCTAATTTTTTTTTGTATAAATATATATATATATATATATATATATATATATATATATACATATTTTTTTTTTTTTTTTTTTTTTGTTGGAGAGATGAGGTTTCACCACATTGCCCAGGCTGGTCTCAAACTCCTGGGCTCAAGTGATCCTTTTGCCTTGGCTTTCCAAAGTTCTGGGATTAGAGGCATGAGCCACCACGCCCAGTGGTGTATTTATTTTTACCCTTGGGAGTTAAAAGTTATAATAACAATTTAGAGTTCAGGAAATTTCCCCTTAGCAGTCCTTTGTTTTGATTAAAAAGAAGTGAAAAATCTTTAGTATATGCTGTTTTTAAAATAATTTGAAGGTTTTGTTTTGAGATGCAGTTTCCCTCTTTTTTTTTTTTTTTTTTTTTTTTTTTTTTTTTTGAGACGCAGTTTTGCTCTTGTTACCCAGGCTGGAGTACAATGGCACGATCTCGGCTCACTGCAACCTCCACTTCCTGGGTTCAGGCAATTCTCCTGCTTTAGCCTCCTGAGTAGCTGGGATTACAGGCACGCACCACCATGCCCAGCTGATTTTTTTGTATTTTTAGTAGAGACGGGGTTTCACCATGTTGACCAGGATGGTCTCGATCTCTTGACCTCGTGATCCACCCGCCTCAGCCTCCCAAAGTGCGAGGATTAAAGGCTTGAGCCACCGTACCCGGCCAGAGTTTCCCTCTTTTTGCCCAGGTTAGAGTGCAATGGTGCAATCTTGGCTCACTGCAATCTCTGCTTCCTGGGTTCAAGCATTTCACCTGCCTCAGCCTCCCAAGTAGCTGGGATTATAGGCATGCACCACCGCACCTGGCTGATTTTGTATTTTTGGTAGAGACAAGATTTCACCATCTTGGCCAGGCTGCTCATGAACTCCTGACTTCAAGTGATCCACCCACCTCAGCCTCCCAAAGTGTTGGGATTACAAGTACGGCCAATTTGAAGTATTTTTAAAAGAACATCTGATGTCATTCTTCATTGTATTTTAACGTGTTACTCTTTCTTGTTTCAGGTAAAATATGCAATATACATTGTCTTGAGAAGGTTGATGCTTTTGAAGAACGACATAAAAGTTGGGGAATTGACTATCTTTTTGAAAAGTTATATCTACTTACAGAAAAGTAAATGAGACATAAATAAAATTAAATTACATGGACGTGTTTTTGAGGAATTGAAAATTATGCTAAGGCCTGAAAATGTGATGGATACATTTTTTAAATTGTTTATAAATCATATGATAGATTTTTACTAAAAATGGCATACAACTTTTAAGAAGAAAAAGATGTAAATTAAAGTAGCTCATTTGATGAGTAGATTATGATGTGAAAGATTATAGCTGTGTGTCCTAAAGATTGCAAGATTTTTTTTGGCAATCAGCATGTGTTACCTGTACAATTTTAAAAAAATTTAATGCAATGCATGTTAAATATAGTACACATAAAAAAGCTGACATTCTTTATGAAATTTAGAATTGTTGAAGAAAGATAACACTTCCATAGGGTTCAAGGTGGTCCAAGAGTTATATAAAAGATTAGCTTTTACTATAAACCCTGGTCTTTTACTCAAATCCTAGCATCCCTTTTCACATGGTTTCTCCATATATAACAGAATCAAGAAACAGATTTTAATTAAACAACCTGTACCACAATCAAGAAACAAATAAATTTTAATTAAACAATCTATATGGAACAAAACATTCTCAAATTCTAAGAATAAATTTTTCTTTAAGTTTTTTCTGAGTTTGGCAGTTGTTTCTTATAATTTAATCTGTTTAAATGATCAGGTCTTATAAAGTATAATGTACTTAGAGCTGGATTCATGACTGTTTATTATGAAAGTTTAGATTCAGAATTTCCCAGTTTTTCATTAACAATCACATTTTGTTAAATCAGACAGCCCTCTATAACTCTGCACTACCCAACAGCTAAATGGTTTACCTTGTTCATTTCGCTCATGTTAGTAGGATGGTTGTGTATTATAAAAAATGAGTTACCTGTGTGTGTGTGTGCACGCATGCCCATGTGCTGGCTTAAAGCTTGTTAATGGGGAGGTTTGGGTACCCCTTCAACATTGGTGAAAGCTGTGGTGCTCTCTCTAGAGATATGTCTTGTCAACCTCTCTTGTTCCCCTTGGCTTCCACCCTAGAAGCTCTCTGCCATTGATGCAGTCTAATAGATTTTTAAGGCTATTAATCTGAAGCAACTCCTTTCTCACAATGATTCTTGCTTCTCGGACCTGCACCCAACCTGTAGTGTGGGCTTCCAGAAGCCATGACTCCCTAACTCTGCCTATGTCACCAGTTGAATGGACAACTGACCCAAGTTGGACCAACACAGTTGTCTCGAGACTTTTGATTTTATTTTTTTATATAGACAAGAATCTCACTTTGTTACCCAGGCTGATGTTGAACTCCTTGCCTCAAGCAGGCCTCCTGCCTTGGCCACCCAAGTGCTGGGATTACAGGGGTGAGCCATTTCACTGACCCTCTTCACAGACTTTTGGACTTGGGACTAAAAAGGCAAGGTGACTGCTGACTGGGGAATCTGTAATGTGTACACCTGGGAGTTGTGGGGCAACCACATTCCACCACGTGGATCTGAGAAACAGAATGCTGATCTGCAGAAAGAGATGAGAACCAGAGAGGCCACCTGTGTTCTAGGTCCATTTTCATTTTTCCTCAAGCCCAGCCACCCAGGGTGGGGAGGAACACCCTGTGTCCATGGGATCGAGTCTTCTCTTACACTTGTGCCCAGAGAATCTTAAATAATCAAATTAGATATCCTTACGTAGTTGATCTTTTATGTAATATGTGTCTTCATTGGGGAATACTGACTTCTTAAAGTCTCAAGATGGAAGATATACCACATATAAATTATTTTAGAGCAATTGATTTTCAGGACTTTCCAAAAATGCAGGCCACCACTTTATTTGCATGGGTGAATACGAACTGGCCAATGGGAAACCTCTAGTAGGTGTTTGCACCCCAGAAGATTCTGTAACCAGGGCCTTTGAACCACTGCTCAGCCAGCTCCCACCCTGTGGAGTGCACTTTCATTTTCAATTCATCTCTGCTTTTGTTGCTTTATTCTTTCCCTGCTTTGCTGTGAGTTTTGACCAATTTTTTGTTCAAAAAGCCAAGAACCTGGACAACTTGTAGTCAAGACCGTATACTGCTAACAGTGTCACTATTTTTCAAAAGCAAGATTTTTGCATAGCTGTATAATGTTGTCATGTGGCAGCACCGTTATTATTTAATCTTTCTCCTGCTATTAGAGCCAGCATTCATTCAGCAATCTGAGTACTATTGGGTGTGCTAGCAGATAAAGGCTTATTGATTATTGAAGATAGTCCTGTTCTCAGGCACCACCGGTTATAGGGGTAGGGACTGAACATTCAGCTTTACTATATAGCATGGTATGGCTGTGTTCGGGGTACAGGCAGGGAGCTGTCAGCTTCTAAGTGGTCATTTAAACCATAAGGAAGTGAAGATGACATTGCTCAGGGGAACAGGTAGGAAGCTAAGAGAAAAAGACCAAGGGTGGTACCTTGAGGCACACTTAATTGCACTGAACATGAGATGCACTCAAATCTCTAGATTCCCATTTCCAAACATACATCTCCAGCTCATTTTTGTATGGTCTCACTCAAAAAGTTCAAAACAGAGCCATTCTTCCTCCTAACACCACAGCCCTCACCCCTGAGATGCCAAGAACATGGGGCGTGAGCTTAAAAATTAGCGTGGTGGTCAGAGATGCCCCTGGGAGGAGGGCAAGGCTGGAAGCAAAGCCCATTCTATGTGACTTGGTCCTCTTCCTTTCTCTTACATCATTGTCAGGTAGTCTGAGGTGTAACTGCATCTTTAAACTTGTTCTTGGATTCCTTCTAAACTGCATATGTCTGGCACATTTGCCCCACCTATACAAGCAGAAGCCCACTTGACTCCCCTTTCCCCATGTGCTGTCTTCTCTGCTGGAACCATCCTGAGCTTGGTCCCCACTCTCCTTCCACTACAGTATGGTACTTTGCTCATAGGTCAGCCACTGACCACTCTGGAAACCAGATGTTCTGCTTTTCAAGCCCTTTGCTCCCACAATTCTCAGGGCTTGTTCAAGTTGGAAGCAAGGGAAGATGGGTACGCTAGTCCAGGACCCTCTATTTAAGGAATATCAGAGAAAAGCACAGAGGAAATCCATGGAGGCTCAGCCTTCGAGGAGGAAATGACAGTCACGGGAAATGCCAAATGTTAGACTGAAATTCAAGATATTTCTGTTATTAATCAATTGTGCAATGATGTGATTGCATAAATGATGTGATTTAGTTGGTTATTTATTTGGGATGGAAATGTAGTCAGAAATTAGGGTATTAAGTTGGTTATTGTGTCCCAGTACACAATCTTTGAGTCAAATAACATTTTATGAGAAAATGTTCTTTCTCGTCTTACATTAAAGCTGTCTCCAGGGGCCTTAACAGGGGACAAAATGCTGTGTTTTCTCAGAAATCTAGCAAATCAGAAGGTGAATGATCATGATTATGATCTCTAAAGTAACAGAAATTCTGTAATATAAGGTTTTGTTAAGCACAATGTTCACATAAGACATTTGGAGGGAAATTCCTTAAAAACAAAAGATTAGGGCAAGGCGTGGTGGCTCACACCTCTAACCCTAGCACTTGGGGAGGCAGAGGCGGGTGGATCACCTGACATCAAGAGTTTGACACCAGTTTGGCCAACAGGGCAAAACCCCATGTCTATAAAACTTAGCCAGGCATGGTGGCGGGTGCCTATAATTCCAGCTACTCAGGAGGCCGAGGCGTCAGGATCCCTTGAACCCTGGAGGTGGAGGTTGCAGTCAGCTGAGATCACACCACTGCACTCCAGCCTAGGTAAAAGAGTAAAACTGTGTCAAAACAAAACAACAACAACAAAAAGGCCAAGCTTGGTGGCTCACGCCTGTAATCCCAGCAATTTGGGAGATCGAGGTGGGCGGATCACAAGGTCAAGAGATAGAGACCATCCTGGCCAACATGGTGAAACCCCATCTCTACTAAAAGTACAAAAATTAGCTGGACGTGGTAGCATGTGCCTGTATTCCCAGCTACTTGGGAGGGAGGCTGAGGTAGAAGAATCGTTTGAACCTGGGAGGCTGAGGTCGTGACATTGCACTCCAGCCTGGTGACAGAGTGAGACTCCATCTCAAAAAAAAAAAAGAAAAGAAAAGAAAAGAAAAATAAGAGATTATAATACCACAATGGATTCTTCACACAGAGTGTGCTATCTCTTGTTTGAAGATTTTCCAAAATATGGCAGATTCTCTTTGCTTTTGGTCTCAACAGAGACTGGAAAAATTGAACTTAGTGTCATTTGAAGGAATTACTATAATGCAGTGGTGCTCAAAGCTGGCTGTGCATTATAATCACCTGGGAAGCTTTTATAAATCCCAGCTGTCCAGACCACACCATGGGTCAATTAAACTTTTTGGGTGCGATCCAGATGTTTACCATGTACAAAGAAGTTTGAAAATGACTGAAATAGGTAACAGTGTGGACTCCGAAGTCAAACTGCCTCGCTTCAAATTCCAGGCCAGCCACTTCCTAGCCATGTGACCCTGGGCGAGATATTTGACTTCTATGAACTCTGTCAGAAAAAAAGATAAAAATAACATTCTTCTAGGATTGCTATGAGGTTTAAATAAGATAATCTATGTAAACTATTTATGAGGTTGATGCAACAGTAATCACGATGTTTGCCATTACTTTTAACGGCAAACGGTAATTAAAACCATTACTTTTAATGGCAAACACTGGGATTACATTTGCACCACCCTAATACAACAGGGCAGGCATAATGTGAATTCTGTCGGCTGGGCACAGTGATACTTTGGGAGGCCAAGAGGTGGGGAAGATTGTTCACAATTTTCACAAGTTTAAGACCAGCAGAGGCAACACAGTGAAACCTCCTCTCCACAAATAAACAAAAAAAATTAGCCTAGTGTGGTGGTGCATGCCTGTAATCCCAGCCACTGAAGTGGGAGGATTACTTGAGCCTGGGAGATGGAGGCTGCAGTGAGCTGTGATCATGCCCCTGCACTCCAGGCTAGGTGACAGAGTCAGACTTTGAAATCTGGCACTAGACAAGGATGTCCTCTCTCACCACTCCTATTCAATGTAGTATTGGAAGTTCTAGCCAGAGCAATCAGGCAAGAAAAATAAATAAAGGGTAATCAATTAGGAAAGGAGGAAGTCAAATTGTCTCTATTTGCAGATAACATGATAATATATTTAGAAGACCCCATCATCTCAGTTCCAAATCTCCTGAAACTGATAAGCAACTTGAGCAAAGTCTCAGGATACAAAATCAATGTGCAAAAATCACAAGCATTTCTATACACCAATAACAGACTTAAAGAGAGCCATATCAAGAATGAACTGCCATTCACAATTACTACAAAGAGAATCAAATACCTAGGAATACAACTAACAAGGAATGTAAAAGGACCTCTTCAAAGAGAACTACAAACCGCTGCTCAATGAAATAAGAGAGGACACAAACAGATGGAGAAACATTCCATGCTCATGGTTAGGAAGAACCAATATCGTGAAAATGGCCATACTGCCCAAAGTAATTTATAGATTCAGTGCTATCCCCATCAAGCTACCAATGACCTTCTTCACAAAACTGGAAAAAACCACCTGAAACTTCATATGGAACCAAAAGAGAGCCCGCATAGCCAAGCCAATTCTAAGCAAAAAGAACAAAGCCGGAGGCATCACGGTACCTGACTTCAAGCTATACTACAAGGCTACAGTAATCAAAACAGCATGGTACTGGTACCAAAACAGAGATGTAGACCAACGGAACAGAACACAGGCCTCGGAGGCAATGCTACACATCTACAACCATCTGATCTTTGACAAACCTGACAAAAACAAGCAATGAGGAAAGGATTCCCTGTTTATTATATGGTGTTGGGAAAACTGGCTAGCCATGTACAGAAAGCAGAAACTGGACCCCTTCCTGACACCTTGCACTAAAATTAACTCCAGATAGATTAAAGACTTAAACTTAAAACCAAATACCGTAAAAACCTTAGAAGAAAACCTAGGTAAACCATCCAGGACATAGGCATAGGCAAGGACTTCATGACTAAAACACCAAAAGCATTGGCAACAAAAGCCAGAATAGACAAAAGACATCTAATCAAACTCCACAGCTTCTGCACAGCAAAAGAAACAATCATTAGAGTACATTGGCAACCAACAGAATGGGAAAAAATTTTTGCAATCTACCCATCTGACAAAGGGCTAATATCCAGAATCTATAGAGAACTAAAACAGATTTACAAGAAAAAAAAAAAAACCATTCAAAAGTGGTCAAAGGATATGAACAGATACTTTACAAAAGAAGACATATATGAGGCCAACAAACATATGAAAAATGCTCAGCACTGATTATTACAGAAATGCAAATCAAAACCACCTTGAGATACCATCTCACGCCAGTTAGAATGTCGATCATTAAAAGATCTGGAGATAACAGATGCTGGAGAAGATGTGGAGACATAGGAACACTTTTACACTGCTGGTGGGAGTGTAAATTAGTTCAGCCATTGTGGAAGACAGTGTGGCGATTCCTCAAGGACCTAGAAATAGAAATTCTATTTAACCCAGCAATCCCATTACTGGGTATATATCCAAAGGATTATAAATCGTTCTACTATAAGGACACATGCACACGAATGTTCCTTGCAGCACTGTTTACAATAGCAAAGACTTGGAACTAACCCAAATGCCCATCGATGATAGACGAGACAAGGAAAACGTGGCACATACACACCATGGAATACTATCCAGGCATTAAAAACGATGAGCTGGTGTCCTTTGTAGGGACATGGATGAACCTGGAAACCATCATTCTCAGCAAACTGACACAAGAACAGAAAATCAAACAACACATGTTCTCACTCATAGGTAGGTGTTGAACAATGAGAATACATGGGCATGGGGAGGGGAGTATCACACACTGGGGTCTGTGGTGGGGAACCAGAGGAGGGACAGTGTGGGCTGGGGAGTTGGGGAGGGATAACATGGGGACAAATGTCAGATATAGGTGATGGGGAGGAAGGCAGCAAACCACACTGCCACGTGTGTACCTATGCAACAATCTTACATGTTCTTCACATGTACCCCAAAACCTAAAACACAATTTTTAAAATATAGATAGATAAAGTTCTATGGTATTTATTATTAACTAACAGCTTTCTTATTTCATACTAATTACTCTGCAAGATACTTCCAGCCACGGTTCCCCCATCCCACACTCATTCACCTAGTGGATTTTTTTGTTGTTGTTGTTCTATAACATTCCTTCATTCATGCACGAATTCATTTTACAAGTGTGTATTCATTCAACATTGACTTAACGAGTGTGATAGAAGACACAAAAGAAATATGCACATCTGCCTTACCTCCCTTGGAGTTTATCTTCTCTCGCGTGTTGGTGTTTTCCGGTTCAGATCATAAGGACCATGTTTTTACGCCTGGACAGCCCCAGCACCCAGAGCTGCAGACTGGAGACACGGCTAGGCCCCCCGGGCGAGAAGACTGGGTTCTAGTTCTTGCTTTGCCACCTCCAAGCCGAGTCACAGGGAGCAATCCGGTTGTCCTCAGTGGGTTTGTTTCCTCACCTGAAAGTGTACCCAATCCATCCATGACTGTGACGATTACAGGTCTTAACGCGCATGTGGATCTGTCTCGCAAACGTCCACGACCAGGCCCCCGGGAAACAGTGCCGCGCGTGCCCACCAAGGGGCAGCAGATCGCAGTGCAGAGGCCCGCGGCGCTCGACGTCAGGGCGCACGCCCGACCCCGTGACCGTGCCTGTGACCGTGACCAAGGGCGTCGCTGGGGCACGGCCGGGCGGCGCCGCGGGAGTGCGCAGGACCCGCCATGGGGGCCGAAGCCTCGGGGAGCCGGCCGGAGCTGCAGGAGCTCATGCGCGAGGCGGAGATCAGTCTGCTCGAGTGCAAGGTGTGCTTTGAGAGGTTTGGCCACCGGCAGCAGCGGCGCCCGCGCAACCTGTCCTGCGGCCACGTGGTCTGCCTGGCCTGCGTGGCCGCCCTGGCGCACCCACGCACGCTGGCCCTCGAGTGCCCATTCTGCAGACGAGCCTGCCGGGGCTGCGACACCAGCGACTGCCTGCCGGTGCTGCACCTCATAGAGCTCCTGGGCTCGGCGCTTCGCCAGTCCCCGGCCGCCCACCGCGCTGCCCCCAGCGCCCCCGGAGCCCTCACCTGCCACCACGCCTTCGGCGGCTGGGGGACTCTGGTCAACCCCACCGGACTGGCGCTTTGTCCCAAGACAGGGCGGGTCGTGGTGGTGCACGACGGCAAGAGGCGTGTCAAGATTTTTGACTCTGGGGGAGGATGCGCGCATCAGTTTGGAGAGAAGGGGGACGCTGCCCAAGACATTAGGTACCCTGTGGATGTCACCGTCACCAACGACTGCCATGTGGTTGTCACTGACGCGGGAGATCGCTCCATTAAAGTGTTTGATTTTTTTGGCCAGATCAAGCTTGTCATTGGAGGCCAATTCTCCTTACCGTGGGGTGTGGAGACCACCCCTCAGAATGGGATTGTGGTAACTGATGCGGAGGCAGGGTCCCTGCACCTCCTGGACGTGGACTTCGCCGAAGGGGTCCTTCGAAGAACTGAAAGGTTGCAAGCTCATCTGTGCAATCCCCGTGGGGTGGCAGTGTCTTGGCTCACAGGGGCCGTTGCAGTCCTGGAGCACCCCCTGGCCCTGGGGAGTGGGGTCTGCAGCACCAGGGTGAAAGTGTTTAGCTCAAGTATGCAACTTGTTAGCCAGGTGGATACCTTTGGGCTGAGCCTCTACTTTCCCTCCAAAATAACTGCCTCAGCTGTAACCTTTGATCACCAGGGACATGTGATTGTTGCAGATACATCTGGTCCAGCTATCCTTTGCTTAGGAAAACCTGAGGAGTTTCCAGTACCAAAGCCCATGGTCACTCATGGTCTTTCTCATCCTGTGGCTCTTACCTTCACCAAGGAGAATTCTCTTCTTGTGCTGGACACAGCATCTCATTCTATAAAGGTCTACAAAGTTGACTGGGGGTGATGGGCTGGGGTGGGGCTCTAGAATCAAAAGTCCTAGTGCTGCCATTAATTAATTGTTTAACCCTGGATAAGTCACTTAAACTCATCTATCCAGACAGGGATAATTAAAACTGTCTGGCAGACTTACAAAGCTGGAGACAATTATTAGAGACTAATCTACTATTTATTGAATGCATACTCTGTGCAAGGAAATTTGCAAATATTAGTTTGTTTAATCCATACTACCCAGTGAGGTAATTTTTTTTTTTTTTTTTTTTTTTTTTTTTCTGAGATAGAGTCAAGCTCTGTCACCGAGGTTGGAGTGCAGTAACATGATCACGGCTCAGCACAGTTTCAACTTCCCTGGGTCAGGTGATCCTTCCACCTCAGCCTCCCAAGTAGCTGAGACCAAAGGCGTGCACTACCACACCCAGCCAATTTTTTTATTTTAGTAGAGATGGGGTTTTACCCTGTTGCCCAGGCTGGTCTCAAACTCCTGAGCTCAAGCAATCCACCTTCCTCAGTCTCCCAAAGTACTAAGATTATGGGCATAGTCACCTTGCCCAGCCATATTTTTATTAGTAGTCTCATTGTACAAGTGAGAAAACTGAAACCCAGAGACCTTAGGTGACTTCCCCAGGCCACAGTTACTTACTGCAATAGTCACTATTTGAATTCAATTCTGACTCCAAATAAATTGCCCTTAAATAAGATAACAGATGCGGGGGAAAATATGTGAATGTATAAAGTTGCTATGTGTACACTCTTTACAAGTAGCTAATTATTCTATCACAAAGATGTGCAAAGAGGGAGACTTTATGGAGAGTTCAGGAGAAAAAGGATTTTGTGGTGGGCATTACTTTGATTCAACTTGCAATTGCTCTGATGGCACATTAGATGAAGTTACATTAGATGAATAAGAAAAACAATTGAACTACTTATTAAAAAGATAAACATGTCTTTTAATGCCTGTATCTTCTCCACTATACAAACTCAGAAAATATCACTTGGTTGTTTTAGAAAGGCCTATTTTTGTTGTGTGTGTGTGTGTTTTGGGTTTTTTTTTTTTTTTAGACAGAGTCTTGCTCTGTCACCCAGGCTGGAGTTCAGTGGTGTGATCTTGGCTCACTGCAACTTCTACCTCTTGGGTTCAAGCGATTCTCTGCCTCAGCCTCCTGAGTAGCTGGGATTACAGGCACCTGTCACCATGCCTGGCTAATTGTGTGTGTGTGTGTGTGTGTGTGTGTGTGTTTAGTAGAGACAAGATTTCACTATTTTGGCCAGCCTGGTCTTGAACTCCTGACCTCGTCATCCACCCACCTTGGCTTCCCAAAGTGCTGGGATTACAGGCATGAGCCACAGCACCCAACCTAGGCCTATATTTGCGTAAGTTCTAAACTATTGCAGAACACTCTACATACTAGTGTCACACGCTCCTGTTACATGTTTATGTTACACGTTTGTGGGTTGTTTGTTTCTAGACATGGTCTTGCTCTGTCACCCGGAGTACAGTGGAGTGATCACTGCTCACTATAGCCTCGACTCCCTGGGCTCAAGTGATCATCCTGCCTCATCATCCTGAGTAGCTGGGACTGCAGGTGTGTGTCACCATGCCCAGCTAATTTTTAAATTTTTCGTAAGGATGGGATCTCGCTTTGTTGCCCAAACTAGTTTCAAGCTCCTGGGCTCAAACAATCCTCCTGCCTTGGCCTCCCAAAGCACTGAGACTATAGGAATCAGCCACTGCACCTGGTCCACATAAAGTAAAAGTGAGAGCCTAACTCCCATCCACTCCACAAGAACCCATTTTGTTGTCAGTGCTCTCATACAGCACTAATAGTAAGATTTGGGGCACCCTAGCCCACCGTTTATAAATGCATTCTAAACAGAAGTTCTATGGGCAAACCCCTTCTCCCCACATGCACACACCCCACCCTTAGAAGTCACCCCTAGGTTGGTGACTTGGCAGGTATTCCAAACACATAACAAGAAACGTTGTTCCAGGGGGAGACGTGAATGGAGGCTTATCTGATCATTTGTGAGCAGAGCTACTGAGGATAGAGCTTAGGCCATCTTCCTTGGGAACAATGACATTTAATGATTTTAGGATTAGTAGAGCCAATTCAAAAGATTTTTCTCTTTGGAATTATCAATGGCATCATCTCTGACTATAAAGCTGACCAGGTGTCCTTTGCAGACAGCAGTCATGGTAAAGGGGTGGAGTGGGCGACACATGAGGCATGTGAGCAAGGTAGTGTTGCTGGTTATCGTGTGGGTTACCTGACATGAAGAATCAGGCGTACGTCTGTGAGACCATGTGGGAGTGTATCAAACCTGTGATAACAAGCAACCTGAGTAACTGCCACCTTTCCTTGGTAGATTATCAGGCTTGGGATGGGGTGGGGCTGGATATGCCACATAAAAAGAACTGTATATAGCAGCTCTTCCCAGGAATGTCGTAAGACAGGAGCAGAGTTTCCTTGGGGAAGACATAAAGCTTGCTGTTCTTGATTCTCAAGCACACACACACAGGTAATAGTTTCAGTGGCCTGTAAGGCAGTGCAAAATTTGTCTTCCAGACTGTGTTCTTTGTTTTTGAGCTGGGATCTGGCTCTGTTGCCCAGGCTGGAGTGCAATGGTGTGATCTCAGCTCACTGCAACCTCTGCCTCACAGGTTCAAGCGATTCTCCTGCCTCAGCCTTCCCAGTAGCTGGGATTACAGGCACCTACCACCACACACCAAGCTACTTTTTGGATTTTTAGTAGAGACAGAGTTTCACTATGTTGGCCAGGCTGGTCTTGAACTCCCGACCTCAAGTGATCCACCTGCCTCAGCATCCCAAAGTGTTGGGATTACAGGCATGAGCCACCGTCCCCTGCCAGACTGTGTTCTTTAAAGCAAGCTGGTTAAAGAGCTTGAGCTACGTCATGCCGAACTCCAGATTATTAAAGAAATTGGAGAATTCTGAGTCAGGCAGGAAAAAATAATCCCAGCACAAAGTAAAAGCTTCCAAGGTAATGAAGAAGAGTTGGAATGACTCTCAGAGGTTGAAACAAAAGAACGTGCCATGGAGTAAAGGGAGAAGGAAAAGGAAATAGGCTCTTCCAGAACATCCCCCACATGCTCCCTGGCGAGTCCGTAAAAGCAAACACAGACACGACGGCGCCTGGGTCAGCAGTTCTCACCTCACCCTCCATCTGTTCCAGCTTTGCCCAATTCCCGATTCTTGGATTGTCTCCTGCTTTTCCCCTTGTTCTGTCCTCTGGACTTGCCACCTGGACTTGGCTTTCTCAATCTCTTTCCTTGGCATTTTGTTAAGCTATTGGTTCACACTCATATCTCCCCTCTAGCAAAACTAGCTCTGGATCCCAGGACCCAAATCATCACCATTTTGCTATTGCCTTATGCAGACCCTCCCTGGGCCCCAACTAAGTGGGGTGCAGATCCCACCTAAAGTGAATTATGAAACTTCTGGGGAAGAAGCATTAACCTGTGCACCTCAGAAAAATGAGGAAGAACTACGGATGATAGCAAATTTAATAATCCTTACACCTGCCACAGAAGGAGAAATATATACTGGTGTTAGCGTTACACTGTAGAGATATACCATGGCGGTGTACCATGGCTGGTCAGGAGATGAACTGTTTTTTTGGGGAATGTGTGGCAAACATGATAGGGCGGCCACCGAGACTCACCACAACTACTGTAATGAATAACCACGGTGTCTGCTGTGCCCACCGCCACTTCTAGGAAAAACTGCCACATCATGAGCCCACCCTCAGCAGCCAGGTTTTCTATTACATATCTCCTCGGATCACAGCTAATCAGGTAGGGGTGCACACCTAACAGAAGGGCAATCAACCAACGATGCTCCACCAGACGTATTTACGAGACCAGGAAATTGGCTATGAATTGGCTTGACAGAAATATATTTTCCCCACAAGAAGCACAGAGATTCAATTACATTCTTGTCCTTGATATTTTGAATTGAGAAACGTGGAGCATGTTAAGCTGATAGGCTGATTTACAGGGGTGCAGAGAGTCCCTGTGGGCAAGCCACACCACGAATAAGAAGCTATGAGGCAGAGAGAAGACAAAACTCACAGGAAACCGAGTAAGAACGGGAGGAAGAAATCCATCCAAAGAAGCAGTGGCTTGGAGTCATGTTACCTCCAGGGCACCAACATGATGGTCCCTACTGCAAGATCCCTCAAGCTGCCCCGACTCCACTCTGCCTCTCTGCAAGGCTGAGCTGCACTATGGTTTCTGTTCTTGGAGTCCTAATGACTCTCTCCTATGCCAAGCGAATTCTTATAGTAAATGCTCCACTGCTTCAGCTAACGTGCACAAATCTCTGTTTTTTGGCAACAGAAAGTACCTATCAAAAGTTATAATATTTTGGCCCTGTGCAGTGGCTCATGCGTATAATCCCAGAGCTTGGGGGGCCAAGGCGGGCGGATCATCTCAGGTCAGGAGTTGGAGACCAGCCTGGCCTACATGGTGAAATCCTGTCTTTACGAAAAATACAAAAAATAGTGTGGTAGCAGTCTCCTGTAATCCCAGCACTTTGAGAGGCTGAGCACGCAGACCATGAGGTCAGGAGATCGAGACCATCCTGGCTAACCCTGTCTCTTCCAAAAAATACAAAAAATTAACCAGGCATGGTGGCGGGTGCCTGTAATCTCAGCTACTTAGGAGGCTGAGGCAGGAGAATCACTTGAGCCTGGAAGGTGGAGATTACAGTGAGCTGAGATCACGCCACTGCACTCCAGCCTGGGCAACAGAGGGAGACTCTGTCTTAAAAAAAAAAAAAAAATCTAATATTTAGCTGATTGGTTTGGAGAAAATTGGTCTGAAATGTACAGACTTTGATGCCATGAATAAGAAAGTAATTCTGTGGGGAGAAACACTCTCCCACCAACTCATCAATCCCTAATTCTGGTAGGGTATAATACCAAAGAACAAGTAGAGACTCACATACCACAGGCCGAAATATTTAAGACTTAAAAATCAAACCAACGAACTTAAATAAAATATATTTGATCCTACTACCTTGACAAAGGTAAATGTAAATATTTAAAAATACCTTTTTTTTTTTTTTTTTTTTTTTTTTGGCCAAGATTCGTGGCACACGCCTGTAATCCCA